AAGAGTATGGTCTCAAGGTATATCCATTTAGTTATACATAGCTCACGTTTATCCCTCTTGATCACAAAGTGCTGCTGTAAACACAGGTGTACACATGTCACTGTGGCATGAGGCTTTTAATTCTTTGAAGAAAATACAAAGGAAAAGAGTAGCTGGGTCGAGTGCACACAGAGTCAACACTCAGCAATCAACAGCCTTCCTTTATACCAATAACTCAATGAGAGAAATTGTGAGACAACCACTTTCATGATAGCATCCGAAAGAATGAAATACCTAGGAATCAGTCTCATGAAGGAAGCAAAAGACCTCTGTGTTGAAAACAGCACTTGGGAAAGGAAATTGAAGATGATGTCAGAAAATAGAAAGATATTCCTTGTTCTTAGGTAGGAAGAATCAGTATAGTAAAAATGGCCATACTTCTAAAATTGTTACAGATTTAATAGCATCCTGATCAATGTTCCAACAGTATATATGTCACAGAATTAGAGAAAACATTTCTAAAATTCATTTGAAACTAGAAGAAACTTAGAGTCTGTAATTATGGGCAAGAAAGGCAAGTCAGAGGGCATCACAATCCCTGACTTTAAATTGTACTGCAAAGCTACCATGATAAAAACAACAAGTAAGCAGACCCAAGGATCAATGGAATAGATTAGAAGATACAGAAAAAACTCCAGACATACCTTATGTCATAAATCCACTTGTGAAAAAAGATCCCACAACTGCTGGAGAAAGTGACCGGAAAGATGGAGTAAGTGTGTTTGAAACTAGAGTGATTTTTTATGGTGAATGAAAGTGTATAGAATTAGCCAGCTGGACTCAGTTTAGATGACTCCAATTTTGTTGGCAGCATCCAAAGCATGATAATCAGAAGTCAGTCAAACACATGCCTCCTCCTCTCCGTTAGGCCAGATCCCACATCATGGCTTCTTCTCCATGTTTGATCTGGTGCTAGGTGGCCTTGATAGCCACAGTGACCTCAAGGTGTGGTGTCCTGTCTTCTTCATGCTGACTCAGGGGAGCTGATGATGGCAGAGTGATCACATTCCTGGCCACAATCCCCAGGGTATTTGGGCTGCCACCAGGACTGCAGTGTCTTGGGATGGTGGAAGGTGGGTGACATGTGCAGCTGTTTATTGTGGTTATGGATACCTCTCAGCATGTCCTCTGGAACTGCAACATTTTTGCTTTGGCTTCAGCTTCAGGAGGGATAGGTGCTTTCTTTGCATTCAATGCCAACTCAGAAAAAAATGAAGGTGGTTTTTTTGTTTTGTTTTAAGGGGAATTAATGGTCATGTATCTTTTGCTATAAGAAAGTTTTCACACATTCACTGTATTTTTCCACCACCCCTGGGATGCATGTGTATAAAAAGATGGCCTATCAGGAGATGGCTCATGCAGTGATAGAGGCCAAGCAGTCTCACAGTCTTCAAGGCAAGTTCACAAGCTGCAGGCCCAAGAGAAGAGATTATGTCATGCCAGTCTGAGGCCAGAGGCCAGACAACATTAGAACGTTCAGTGTAGTTCCAGTCCATAGGCCAGCAGGCTTGAGGCCCAGGAAGAAGCTTCTGTCCAGAGCAGAAAAAAGTTAAATGTCCCAGTATTTGAAGGCAGTAGAGACAGAACAGATTCTCTCAGAACAGCAGACCTTTTTGTTCTTTCCTGACTTTCACCTGATTGAGAGAGCCCCACTCACTTTCAAGAGGTCAATCTGCACATTCAGTGAGCTGATTTCACTGTTACTTTCATCCAAACATATCTTTATAGAAACATCTAGAGTGATACTTGGCCAAATATCTAACCACAGCATGGCACACTCAAACTGACACGTACAGTTAGCCATCACACTTATATATATATGTAGAAAATCAGCAAATACCCAATATTGTGATCTAGTTTTAAGAATTCTACCAATTTATACAGTGACATATAAAAGTTATTAGCAAATAGTAACTCCTTTAATGTGCTAAGAAGTAAATAAAGAATCTTAAAGCACTGACCATAACTAAAAGGATCAAAAGCTGAGCATGCTAGCACGTACCTGTAATCCCAATACTTGGGAGGTGGAAACAGAAGGATCACTGTGAGTTCAAGGCCAGCCTGACCTACATAGTGAGACCATGCCTCAAAATAAATAAATAAATATCACAGTATAATTTATAGTGAGTGTATAGTTAATCTTTCGAACTAACACTTTTTGTTCTTTATATGAGGCTACTTGAAAAAGTGTCTGCATCAGGCTCTGTAAAATGAAACCTAGAATGAAGCATGGTACAGAGAGAATGCACTATGCTCTCCTGAACTTCATGTATGTTTAATTATGTTCATCAGACATGTATTAGGGCCAGGGAGATAGCTCAGAATAAGCACTTCCCTGACAAGCGCAAGGGGCCTGAGTTCAATCCCCGGTTCTCACACACACACACACACACACACACACACACACACACAAAGAGAGAGAGACATGTATTAAATGTCTACTACATCGAAGTTCTATGTTAGCTGCTTAGCAGGATACTAAGATGTCTTACCGGAAAAAAAGACTCTTCAAGAAGATGAGAAATGATTTCTGTAATACAGAAAGTAATTACATGGTAATACTAGTTAACTGCTTTATTAGAGATACAAGTGGAATGTAGCTGTGTCATCTAAGATGATAATGCTCTTTTGAAATGGTTTATAGCACTGGGCATGCATGTAAATGATGTTGAGAAACATCATCTCTAGCCTTTCAAATATGGGCAAAACGTCCATTGACAAAGATAAAGGAAACCATTTTCTGTAAAAAGAATAGCTTAACCGATGAGAAAGAAAAGCATGTGTGTTCCCACACAGTTTTATCTAGTAGTGCTGGGATGTTATGTCATGATAAGGGAAGGCACAGTGACAGAGAGAAGCTTCTGTCAGAGGTGGAAGCAGGTCATTGTGACCTTTGAAAAGATTATTATAAAAATGTAGTTTTCAAGCTGGGCATGGTGGCACATGCCTGTAATCCCAGCATTTGGGAGGCCAAGGCAGGAGTTTGTTCTGAGTTCAAAACCAGCCTGGGCTACAAAGTGAGTTCGAGGCCAGTCTGATCTGCTTAAGAGTACCCTGCCAGTCTGATTTGCATAAGAGTACCCTGCCAAGAGGATGGGGAAGGGAGAGAGAGGACAGGTGGGCACAGAGTAACAAAGGCAAAAAATAATAAGACTAGGGTATAGTTGGTTCAAAAATATGTGCAATAAAAATTCAGTATTGATAGATATAGGCTAAAAGTTTAGCTCTTAATCTCTTACGGGGAGGAAAAAGGGAAGGTGATTACTACTTAAAAGATTAGCCATCCTCACTCTTAGCTGATAATTGTACTTGTTTCTTGGGGGGAGGGGAAAAAAAAGTAGCACAAGAATCATGAAAAAGACTTTTCCCAGTATCCCTTTTCCCACTGACCCACATGATTTCTTCTCCTTTACCTCCCTGGCACAGATGACTGATGGGACCCCTCTGTAAGGCTAGCCCTTCCTTTGTACATTTCCTTCCAGCTCCACCTGCTTACTCAACAGTGTCCTCCAACAACTAATACTCCATCTGTATGTCTAGATTCCCCAGTTGGGTCATTCCTGTCAGCATAAAAGTATTATTTGCTCCTATCTTTAAGAAACAACACAAATGAAAATTCCTTTGATCCTGTATCCTTTTCCTTATCTAGCCCTAGCTAGATATTTGTAGTCAGAAAAATGTTAATCAAAACAGCAATTAAGGTTTTTTTTTTCTTCACATTTTATACTGGCAAAAATCCAGTTCTTGTTACTGGTGAAATGCAAAATGAGAAAACTTCAATATAGCAGAATGTGACAGTGTGTATGAAAACCACAGGTGATTAACCTGTTCATCCACAATTTCAGAATTAATCCAAGAGAAATACTTGAATGTACAAAATGACATTTTAACACTATTGAGACATAGTTACAATAGCAAATGTTTGGAAAAATCTTAATTGCCTTTTAGTAACAGATTTGTTAAATAATGTTATATCGCACAATAAACATCTTTGCAGTGGAAAAAAGGGATAAGCTCTAACTATTGGTATAGAAATACCTCTGTTGATAAACTAAAAATGCGAGGCACTGAGAAACTTTTAATGTTTCTGAGATTTTATAAAAGAAGTTTAAATAAGCAGGAAGAAACTTCATGTTCTTAATTTTTATTAGTACATATTTGTAATGAGTAGTGATTATAGTCATTATGGGAGTTGGTACGTGTACATAGCTCATCTTAATTTTTTATGTGTCTCCTCTCTCCATCTCTTGGCCCCCTTCTCATTTGAAAAAGATCTAATCTTAAATAAAAGCTATTAAAGTGATCATTCACAAATAATGGGTCGTGCTGGGGAGATGGCTCAGTGGAATAAGTGCTTCCCTGGCAAGCGCAAGGGCCTGAGTTCAATCCCCCATTTCACCCCCCCCCCAAAAAAAAAGGGTTCACAATTAGAAAAAAATATGCATTCTAATAATTTCCAAGCCAGGCATGTTGGTGCACAGTTGTAATCTCAGCACTCAGGAGGCTGAGGTTGGAGGTTTGCTGTGAGTTCAAGGTCAGCCTGGGCTACAGAGCAAGACCCTGTCTCAAAAAAGATAATTTCCAATCTTATTTTCTATTTGTTGTTGTTGTTTTTATGTATTTGGTACAAGGTCTCACTATGGAGACTGGATTTGTAGTGATCCTCCTGTTTTCAGCCTCCCCAGCGCTGGGATTACAGATGTGCTCCACCATGCCCACATTCAGTCACAGTCTCAGTGGGTTTGAGGGCCGGGCCAGCGAGGCATGTGGTACCAGGGATTGAACCCCATCCCTGCACTTCCCTAGACAGGTGCTTAGTCTGCTGAGCTATCTCACCGGCCCTTATTGTCTGTTTTAAGCTCTCATATACTTTATGCAAAATATAAAATGAAATTTTTAATATTGTATTCAGATATTCTTTGAAATGAAGTATAGTAACTGAAATATTTTATTATTTCTAGATCCATATTTATTCTCTTGGAATGACATTATATTGGGGAGCTGATCATGAAGTACCTCAGAGCCAAGTAAGTTAACTTTTTACATTTCTTATACTTTTTAATTTGTACAGTTTTTGTAGTTTACATTTGTACAGTTTTTAAAATGTTCTTTCATGTAACTGTGTATTATAGTACATAAGCAGGTGTATCAGTTGGGTTTTTTTGAAGCCAGGTCTAACTAAGTAGCTCAGGATGGCCTAGCACTCACAAAAATCCTCCTGCCTCAGCTTCCTGAGTGATAAAATTACAGTCATATGCCACCTCACCCTGCTACATCCCATTTTTATACTGGTTGATCATGTCACCCTTTAACAAAGAATTAACAATATAAATACTAATGAAATTATTTTCAGGGTATTCTTAGAATTATAGTTATCACCACCAAGGTTTGAATAATTCAATCTTCAAAAGAGTTGGTGGGGCCAGGGAGATAGCTCAGTAAAATAAGTGTTTGCCTGGCACACGCAGTGTCCTGAGTTCAATTCCCTGTACCACAAAAAGAAAAAAAAAAAAAAAAAAGAGTTGGCCTCTTCAAAAATTATAGCCATGGAAATGGTCGTATATTTTTTTTCTAATTTAATGCTAAATCATTAAATCCTGCTAAGGATGGTAAATGATTGATGATCCATTCTTGCACTGAAAATAAAACTTTTTATGCTAAAATTATGATAATAGAACTGGGGATGTAGCTTGGTGGCACAAGCACCTGCCTGGCAAGCACAAAGTCCTGAGTTCAATTCCTAGTACCAAAACAAAAAACTAATAATAGTCCTAATTCTACAACCAGTGTATATGTCATGAGAGAACATCATTACTTTTTTCTCTTGGGAATTCAGAATCATGTCTTGCTACCCTACAGCAAAAGATGCAGATAGCAAGTTAACTCTTTCTCAGGTCTTAGATTTGGATGGCCATTGAACCACTTCTTGTCTTTTTCTTTCTATTTTTTTGAGAGAGAAGGTGCTCAGGATGCCTTCAAGGCAGGTCTGATTTGGCTTGAGGATGAGGGGATTGAACCACAATATCCTGAGCCTGACTGCTTAGTTTCAGCAGGCACTTAAACACCTGAGCTAATGGGCAGGCCCCCATAGTCTTTTTTTTCTAAAGTAGTTCTGATTCTTCACTATATACCTCAATATAAGCGTAGTAAATAGCAATTGAAAAACTTCAAAATAGTTTCATTTTATCAAAGCTAAGATAATAACATTTAAAATTGAATTTTAAGTATTTAGAAGTCAAGCTGGGCGTGGGTGGCACATGTCTGTAATCCCAGCACTCAGGATGTTAAGGCAGGTAGATCATTGTGAGTTTAAGGCCAGCCTGGGCTACAAAGAGAGTTCAAGGCCAGCCTGACTGCATAGTGAGATTCTGTCTCAAAAAGAGAAAAATGAAGTAAAAGAGGAGGAAGGGCGAGGAGGAGGAGGGAAAAAGGGGGAAGTAGGAGGAAGATGATGATGATGTCATCAAATAAAACTACTCATTTTTTTCTTACTAAATGTCAAAAGTAGCAAATATTTTAGACTTACACTCCCAAATATGTTAAAATCCATGAAAGATAATTCAACTTCATTTGATCCAATTTTACACTATGAGGAATAGTATAAAGTCGAATTTTTACTGAAAGTGTTTGTGTTGTATATCAAGGAGCCAAACTTGGCCAGATAGCTCAGTGGACTAAAAGTCCTGCTTAGGGAGATCACAGGGTCTGGGGTTTGATCTCCAACGTGCCATGCCAGCCCCACCCCTGGGGCATGCTGAGATGGAAGATTGGGACTGGGCATGGTGGCGCGCTGCCTGTAATCCCAGCTCTTGGGAGGCTGAAAAACAGGAGGATCACTACGAGTCCGATTTACATAGTGAGACCCTGTGGACCATGTAGACCCTGTACTAAATACATTAAAAAAAAGAAACCAAACTTCATATACAATGTGATCAGTCTATAGTTAACATTTTAATCTCTGCTGATAATTGGAAATAAAGTCAGTATCAATAATGCATAAATCAAATGATAAACCTTATGCTTTGATCAGAAATTATCATTTTGGAAATATTTCATGTTAATTTGAAAGTATTCTTTGTATCAGACACTACATACACTAAGATGACTGTGTCCCACTCCAGTGGAATCCATTGGAAAGCTGTAAATAGCTAAGTAGTTCACCATAGTGTGAAATGCTAGGCTAGAGGCAATGGATAGGACTGTAAAACAATAATTGAAGGGACCGGCAAGATAGCCCAGCGGTCTAAAGTGCCTGCTTAGGCAAGCACACAGGGACCACAGTTCAATCCCGGCACCACTTGCCACACCAGCCCCGCCCCCAGGTTGGGCTGACTGGTGACCAAAAAAAAGAAGTAAAGAAAAATAATTGGAGTTTCTAATTAGCATTACAGGATAAGGACAGTCTGAAGGCACTCCTTCTAAGTGATAACCTAAAAGATAAAATAATAACTTCTTGGATGGGAAACTGTAAAAGTCCTAAGTGGATGTAAACATTTTAATTCCCATCAGCGATGGAAAACTCCATTATGCTCTGCTCTTTACCAATATTTTGTATTATTAATCTTTTTATATATTGGATGAAAAGTAGGTTTATTGGGCAGTGCTGGGAATCAAACCTCTGTTCTACCAATAAACTGCACCTCCAGTCCCATTGTAGCTTCTTCTGTGGTTTTTATTTGTATTTCTGAGTAATGATGTTGACCACCCTACTTATGTTTAATGGCCATTTGGATATAATATTCCAAAAATAATGTTAACTAATAAAAATAACCTCACATTATTGGTTTCTCTGTTTCACCAGATAAGAACTTATATTTAAATTATCTTGAGTCATTGTAATAGCTAAAATATTCTGTTATTGTGGAAATATCAGTGTATTTATATAGAATGAAAATATATCCTACTGAATATGAGAAAATAACTTATTGCCTTCAAATGGCATTTAGACAAGAATTGTTTTTCAAAATACTTAAATATTCAAAGAATCCCACTTCTACATCAAGAAAACAAAGCAACCCAGCTGTTTTCTGTAATACTTTATATGTGAGAAGACAGTTTTAGCCATCTTCCATTAATTTTTCTTTTCTTAGGTTTTTGGGGGTTTTTTGGCCAGGAAAAAGTAAATGCAACAAGATTTGTCTAGGCTAATAGAGAAAGAATTTCTTTCCATACACTTGAAATTCATTTGTCGTGTTTCCTAGGATTTGTAGACAGGCTTTTCTCACATTAGAAACAAGATTAGGCAGACGTTACATGGCTTTTTCTTTCTTTCTTTTCAGCCTATTAAACTTGGAGATCATCTCAATAGCATACTGCTTGGAATGTGCGAGGATATTATTTACGCTCGGGTTTCGGTTCGGACTGTCCTGGATGCTTGCAGTGCCCACATCAGAAATAGCAACTGTGCACCTTCGTTTTCCTATGTGAAGCAATTGGTAAAACTAGTTCTGGGAAATCTTTCTGGGGTAAGCTACAATTCCATTTGGTAAATATAACCACATTTAAAAATTAGTATCATAACATAGAATTTTCTTTAAAAGTTTTCTAGAGACAGCATTTTCTCAATGAAGACTAGGCATGGGAAATTGAATTTCTTATCCTATTGTTATTTACTTGAAACAATACTTAAAATTTAGAAGACTTGTTGTTGCTTAGATTCCTACATTTTATGAGAGCCAGTCTTTTTTTAGCACTTTATTCCAGAAAATGTCATAGGATCATATCACACTTTTGAGCTACAAGTGTCTGCTTTTGCCTTCCTAGGTGTTTTCCCAAAGACCTTTGAAAGTGGTTCTATCATTGTGAACACATGAAGAAAAAAAAAATTAACGTGAAAAATGAGCTTTAGGGCCAGCTTTAGATAGCTCAGCAAATTAAAGTGCCTGCTTAGGCAGAGGGCAGAGGCCGGCCCTGCCCCTGGGGTTCACTGAGATGGCAATTGAGACTGGGTGTGGTGGCGTGCGCCTGTAATCCCAGCTCTTGGGAGCCTGAAAACAAGAGGATCACTACAAATCCAGTCTGTGTAGTGAGACCCTGTAGACCCTGTACTAAATACATGAAGAAAAAAAAAGAAAAATGAGCTTTAGAAATATTTAAATATATTTTTATTTCTTTATACCTGCTTCTTGGTCACTCTGGATCCTTTAGATTTTCCCAACCTTTCCCATCTTCTCTGGACGCCAGCATCTAGATGTGTAGGAAGCATCCATGCTGTGTTTCTGCCAGATGGCCATAAGACTTGGGCTCTTCCTCCAGTCTGGAAGTGAAGAATCCAAGAATAACAAACTTCATCTGACACTCCCACCTCTGCTCTGCATCCCTTCAGCTACCTCCTGTCTTGTTTACCCTACTTTAGGTACTTCTTGGTTTTTTGTATCCTCTGCTTCTAAACCTTATCTGCTCTTACCCATGGTGGTTTCTACTTTGGTTGCTGTAAATTTGTAGCTGCACGCAGTGTTTTTCCTGGCTCCTTCTTAATTCCTCATCTCAAATGTAGTTCCCTCATCTTAGCTAGGATGTTGTACGGCTGCAGGAATATATCTGCACACTTCTAGTTAATGTGAAACAGGCTCAGGGATCTTCTGGACAAATGGTTTATAAACTGTCTTCTCGTAAGCCTTTGCAGTTCCAGGTTGGGAATGTGAAGTAGAGGCTGAGTGATTGGGTTTCTTGGCTGCCCTTTGACCTTTTTAACTATGGCAGTTCCTATTTTTATTTGTTTTATTTCTAGATGTTCCTTTGTTTGAACAAAGGTAGTCAGTAAAATATGTGAAAGCCCTTTATCCAGGCCAGTTTCCCGCATTGCAGTTGATCTTAGCCAAAAGGCTGAGAAGGAATTTTTTTCCCCATGTTTTTGCACATGAAGTTTTATTAAATCTATGATCAAATAGACTTGAGAAAAAAAAATTTTAAAGAAATGTATTTTTGCTGTAGAAATTCTCAGTGCCTTTAATGCACTACACTTAATACACCACTCTATAGTATAAATCTTTACAAACAATGGGCACACTGACCAAACTTTTCTCAAACATATTTGATACTGGAGGTCTTCTTTCATGCACCTATAATAACACTTATATTCTATGAACCATTCCTTTGCGGATGAGAATATTGAGTTCACATAGCTTTAGGATTTAATTTTCTTGTGAGTCCAGGGGTCTTCCTACTACACCACAACTTCTGCAAAAACTTTGTGTTCTTTGCTGATTTTACTTCTATAGTAAAGTGCTAGATACATTTTTTTCTTCTACCTTTCCATGAAGAAATAATCCTCCATAGGAATTTTATTACCTCACCTATAATGATTACCTGTATTACATAAAAAAAGCTCCATCCCTATGAGATTTGGCATTTAGTTCAGTTTATTATATTACTTATGTGTATGTGAAACCTGAACTAAAGGAGATAGGTATATAAATAAAATATTTGACTGAAGTGTTTTTAAAGTTTAATTAATTTACTTAATCAAAAAATGCAAATAAGGCTGCAAAACTAGGAAAAATTTAAAATGTATGAAATTCATAGAGGAAGAATTTAAGATAGAACTGAAGTTAAAGAATAGTTCTTTGAGGTAAATCTTGTAGGCTAAATAGAAAGTGATCTCAACAAAGAAAGGCAGCCTTGCACACCTGCCATCAGATGGGAAAGAGCAATGCTAAGTCTGGCCTGAGTTGTGCTCGAAGACTAGTGGGAGAGAAAAATAGGGGTCAGCTGGAAGCCACTTGTGGAAAACTTGCACTTAAAAAGACAAATTTTTACCAATATGCTATTTCTCCTCTACCTTTCCACTGTTCTTCCAAGTCCCCTGAGTAACTGGAGCAGGTGTGTTTACTATGTGCCAGGCACTATGCTACATGATTTGTATGACTTGTCACATTTCTTTATCATAACCCCACCCTGAAAGAGACGCTTTCATCTTATTTTAGTGATGATAAAACCAAGGGTCAAAATGATTAAAACATGGCTGTTGCCATACATAGGGTAAATGACTGAGATTTTGTTGGCCTGGGGTGTCTCCAGACCCAAAGTCTTTGCTTCTAGCTGTTACTTTCCTCTCAGGCTGTTATTGTCCCCAGAAGCTCATAGGATGAATTAGTCTTTCACTACTGTGAAATTCATTCCAAGTGACCATAATTCTTACTATCTATCTGTATTACTGAACAATAGTGAAGATAATTATTTCAGTATTGGTGAGCTGTTTTAAGGTCTTTAGAATTTTTTTGCTTTTTCTAAATTTCTGTCTAATATAGGGATAATAATAGCTACCACATGATGTTGTATGGGGAACAAACAACATTTCACAAAGCTACAAGGCAGTAACTGATGAAGAGTAACTGTTCACGTCATAATTGTTGCTAGTGCTTGGCTCGATGAGGGATTCCCAACTACACAGAACGCTCACTATCTTTTCTCTCACTGATGCTACCGTGTAATCTAGACTAACATTTATGCAGTTTAAAGGATAGCACTATTCAGAAATATTTCCACTCAAGTATTAGAGGTAGGAATCATGCTAGACCTTCAGATATACTCTTACACAGGTTTTTAATTGATATTAAAACAGTTCAATTATAGAGGACTTCGGGGCTGGGGAGATGGCTCAGTGGAATAAGTGCTTCCCTGGCAAGTGCAAGGGCCTGAGTTCAATCCCCGGTTCAAAAAAAAAAATGTTATAGAGGACTTCAATTTCTTCTCCATTTTATATCTTGACATTTCTCCTCTGGTGGTTATGATTAATGTTCTAACTTTTCATCCTTCATAATATGGAGTTTGACCTAATTTGATGTACTTTATTTTAAGCATATATTCTTGGTTAAAAGTTCTTGATAATAAGATTATTGAGATATTTAAAGGCTCAGAGATTATTGAATTAAATTTAATTGTTTTCCACCAATGTGTGTGCTTAATTTGAAGACCATATTTCCCAAATGTTCTGGCAGGCAAGATCTAAAAAATAATTTTTGAAAATAATTTAGTTTCCTTAATGCATATTTATGATCAGAGGGGGCCTGGCCCTAGCTCAGGCCTTTAAGTGGCTGCTTCCACAAAGCTCTCAGCCTCAGGTTGCTGGAGTTCGAACCTCACACCTCTCCAGCTGGCCAAAAGTGCCCTGAAGCCATTCGAGGAACAAAAAAAAAAAAAAAAAAATCCATATTTATGATCAGAAGAAAGTTTCATCATATAAAAATTAATTTGATTTTAAAATTTTATAATTGATCAGATAAAGTAGTTAATGGTTCAGGGAAGAAAAGGACACTTCAACTTTACTATTTTCAAAAGGAACTCAGTGGAACTACTACTATTATCTACCTAATTATGTTCCTGGTTGGCAGGTATTCTTTGGTAATTGTTTTTCAAGTTTTCATTGCCTGAAGATGAGTTGGCCAGTGTGGGGTGTAAAAATCTTATCCAAGGAATACAAATTACAATAAGGTGTGGAATATCTTTGCAATGGCAGTGAGTCAGAGTAAGACTCCAAAAGTTGTGGTACTAGTGCCTTCCGTAGACAATTACTATGAGGCAAAAGGGAGATTCTTTTGTCAAACTTGATTTTTGATTACCTATGTACAGACAGATCAGCTTTCCCGAAACAGTGAACAAAAGCCTGATCGAAGCCAGGCTATTCGAGACCGATTGAGAGGAAAAGGATTGCCAACAGGTAAGAGTACCTTAATAGGAAATTGGTAGGTTTTAATTTTATTATTTCTTTTATGAAATTAAATTTACCTGGCTTGGAAATTGAACAATTTTAAATGTGTTTAGTTAGAACATAAGATGTAAAGTTGAGGCAAAAAACAAACAGAAACATTAGCCACATTCATAAGTTAAATCCACCCAAGTTATGCAGAAAACGTTAATACATAAGGACTTCCATTGAAATTATTTTCCTTTCCAATTTTTTAATCAATAATAACATCATTTATTGTTTCAGCATGGTATTTTATATTAAAATACATCTTAAAACGTGATCAAATAAACATTCATATTTGTGAATATAAATATTGCTTCAGTAACCAGCATTATTCTTTCTGCACTCACATTTTCTGTTTTAATTCTTTAATGGTAATTATAAACCACTAACTTGATCTCATCACTAATTTCATGTCTTGAAGTTATCAAATGCTGCTTTAGTAAGTAAAAATGAATAGTGGTATTTGCAAATAGCATTTTATAATTATGAGTCCTATGGTAATTATATACTTTTTTAAAGAAATGCATGAAAACCCCAAAACAAAACAAAAATAGGAGAAATGAGGGCTGGGGAGATAAGCACAAGGACCTAGGTTCAATCCCCCTGTATGCGATGCTGGGCCTGGAACCCTGGCACGCCATGCTGCCCTCTAAAACCGGATGTGGTGGCATAGGCCTATAATCCCAGCACTGGGGAGTCTGAGACAGGAAGATCACTATGAGTCTAAGCTGCATTGTGAGACCCTGTACCAAGTAAATAAAAAAATACATAAATAAATACTTTTCTTAATTTTTATTTAAACAGGAGAAATGAATTTTTATATAATTTATCTTTAGTATTAAGTGTCATTTACACAGTTTAATCTAAAAATGAGTTTTTGATTTTGCTAATTATTGTTATTCTTTTAACTTCTCATTTGTAATACTAAAATTGTGATTGTGTGTTATTTTGGATTTTGGAGCAAGGGAAAAGTAAGTGTAAAGAGAGCTGAAGTATATTATGTTAAAATAGTAACTGATATAAGCTAATAAAATATTGAAAGGGTAATATCTAATTTTTAATTTGATCAGTTATCATAATAGTTTTCTTATTTAAAGAATTATGGGGACATTTATGATAAATCTTTTTATAAAAAATAAACAATTGATTATCTGAAGCAAATGTTTTAAAAAGAGATCAAAACTCCTGTATCTCAGAGCAAAGAACATAATGTAAACAACTGTATTGTTTATGAAGTCAATGAAAACCTGTAAAATTGTTTCTAGGGAAGTGACTCTGTAATTGTACAGGTAATTGTCTATTTGGTGCTTCATGTTATTTACTGTTAATAAAGATTTTTTTTCTCGTAAAGGTATCTTAGCTTTCAGAGAAAGGTAAATTGATTTCTGATTAGATTGCATTTCTTTCTAATGTATATACTATATATGGGTAAAAAAATGCAAACTAGACTTTATTTATTTTGCTTTCTATAATGCATGATAGCAGTTAAATGATTTTAGATCATTTTTGTTTTCTTTACCATGCCCCTATGTAAAAGAGACACACTTTCTTAAACGTACAGGTCTATTTCCCTTTCCTATTCTAGGATTTGAAGTAGGATATTATATGAAATTTGGTGCTAAGAATAACAACAGTTTGTTAATCCATTAAGTTTTAAATAGGTCCCCCATTTTAAAACTAAAGAAACTGAACAGACTGTCCAAACAGATTATGAAGGTATATCTTCAATGACCACAAATTAATAGATCCTTAACAGACTATTCATGTATCTTATTCTCTAGTAGTGATCTCAGAGAATAAAATCTTCACTGGAGAATAAAGTTTTCAGGATTACAGTTAGTCACTCAGGAGAAACCTGAAATAGAGGGCCTTAATACTTAAATAATAGCATTGTTTGAATCAAATGTAATGGAAAAAGATTCTTCTGATCATACTAGTCATTGCTTTTTGTAATAGCATTACTTCACAAAAGCTTTAATTTACCTTTTATTTTATTTTTTTTTTTAAAGGAGAAACACATTTTCTTTTAACATTTATTTATTGTGTGTGTGTGTGTGTGTGTGTGTGTTGTGTGTGTGTGTGTGTGGCCAGCTCAGCCCACCAGGGGGCGGGGCTGGCATGTGGTGCTGGGGGATTGAACCGCGGTCCCTGTGCTTTGTCAAGCTTGTTCCAAGTAGGTGCTTTAGACCACTGAGCCATCTCTCCAGCCCCATAAGGAATTTTTTTTTTTTGTGTGTGTGTGTGTGTGTGTGTGTGTTTTGCTCCTTGAATGCCTTCAGGGCACTTTTGCATGGCTGGAGTGTTGTGGGGATCGAACTACAGCAAACTGAAGCTGCCAGCATTGTGGAAGCAGCCACTTAAAGAACTGAGCTAGGGCTGGGCCCCCTTAATTTACCTTTTAAAAACTTATAAAACCTTCTTTCACAGACAAAATCAACATAAATATACCAATTATACTCATTAGTGGAGAGAAGCAGTTAGCAGCTAATAGTAGTATGTACTATTTTAAAAGGAATGAGATTGAAACAAAAATTATCTCTTGAAGAAATCTACAACACTCGGTGTTGCTTTTTGGGACTCTTATTAGTGAACTCAAAGCAGTCATTTGCAGCAAAGCAGTCTTGTCTTCCCACATTGGTAGTTCATTGGCTTTCAGTTGGCTTCCCACACTGGTGCCCATCAGTGGCCACCAATCTAAAATGTTGTGTACTATTGTCCTTAGTTTACTAGTGCTCTGACTACAGTGTTCAATAAAGAAAGTATCAAGATGGGCAATGGGATACAAGAATTAGATTAAAATACGTAAGCAAATGCAGGAATGTCTTATAACCAGCAGTTTAACTTGTCAATTTAGCAAGACCTTGCCTCAAATTAAAACTGAAAAGGACTATTGATGGAGCTTAGTGCAAAGACCCAAGTGCAATCCCCAGTACACACATTCATACACATACACACACACACACAGAGAGAGAGAGAGAGACAGAGAGAGAGACAGAGACAGAGAGAGAGACAGAGAGAGAGAGAGAGAGAGAGAGAGAGAGAGAGAGAGAGGAGTGTAGGAGTAGTCTCTTTTATCAGGGAAGTGTTTGTTATAGTTGTTTCTATTTTTCATTTATTTGGGGATATTAAAACATAATATACAACAAAAAAAACTTCATCAATTAAAATTTAAAGAAATTGTTCAACTACAAGTAAATAACCCTCGTGTCCTCCATATGTTACTTTTGAACTCTGTCACCAAGCTAAGGCCTAGACATGTGAGCTGTCTGCCCTGCTTTATTGCTTGACACTGCCACTGCTGGTAAAATGGCTTCACTAAGCAGAAAGAATTTCCTGCCAGGCTTACATTGGAAACCTACACCGTGATCAGATCACTGTGATAGTGCTTCAGAACTTTGGGTTTGTTGATTATATCAAGTGTTTTTTAATGTACTTGAACACATTTGTGAGGACAGATGGGGAATTGAGGAGCCTTCTGTAATACTGAAATGTTGTCTTGAAGTTAATTTCTACAGAGAGGCTATGAATCTTTGGATCTCTCTGTCAGGAGAGAGGTGAAGAATGATATCCAGTTAAGGATAATGTTATCAGTAGAACAAAAAATAGTTAAAGCACAGTATACAAGGAAGATTTTTCCAATGTAAAATAAATACAATATATTCTAATAGGAAGACACTTTAGATTCTTAAAATCTCTTACTGTATCTATTCGATGTATAGTCCTTATTTTCCATTTAGATTTTAGCCAAAAGGAAAATTCTCCAAAAGGAAAATGTTTGTGGTTTCATTTTAGATTTGGGTGCTTACAGTTTTATGTAATTTAATGTTATCTGTAACCTCTGAACTTAGAACCTCTCAAGAGATGGGAAATCCCTTTGTAGTAACCATTTTTCCTATTTTGAAGAATTTGATACTTTTTAAATAAGGATAAATCTAAAACATTTATGAGAGATCTCGTGATTCCTAGTTTCCAATATTTCCTCTCAAAAGAACTTTTTAAAATCCCCTTTCAATAGATAATTATATGCTTAGGAAAACAAAGCTTTCTGCTTTGAGAAAAGGGGTGACAAAATTTAAAATTTTATGTTTCCCTTCTTCAGAAGAGCTCAAAATAGCACCTATGAATTAGTTCATTTATCCTGCCATCTCTAAAAAGAAAACTTAATGAATTATATCCATATTTTATTGAGCGACTTGCCCACACTGATGAACAGAATAGAAAGCTTGTATTAAAGCCCAGCCTTGTTGATAATAATCTTGCTGGTAGATTATGCTTCCTAAATTGAATTTTAAGGATTTCTAAAAGTTATGTACTCAGCCCATTATTTTAGCATTCTTTTAGAATCAATCTTATAATGAAACAAGATATGGTCCTTATGTTATTGTTCTACTTGGGAGTGGAAGTGGGGAGGCTAGTGGGAGTGATGTCAGATAGGCAACACAATGGAAATTTTTATACAATGAGATAGGTATCTTAAAATACTTTTTGAGCATAGTGGGAGGAACAACTATGCCAGGATAGGGTAATATTAAGATATGTTCCTCTCTCTAGAAACATTCTAGAGTGCCTCAGATGGCATTACTTTCAGCGAAAGCATTAGCAATTTCCTATCATCACTATAGGTAGTAAACACAGCTATTAGATGTACTTAATTAGTCCAGTGTTGTCCACTGCCTGTTAGGTAGAATTATCCTAATAACCTAAACCTATGTTTAGAGAGATTTGGAAAGTATTTGAATAAGTTGCCTTCTCTGTAGTCTCAAGTACCTACCAATTACTACATGACCTTACTGTTAACAATACATGATCTTCACTGATGTGGGGCTTAATACCAGAATTAATATGGCTAGGTTCTGTATTTGAATTTCCATTTTTCTGTGCCTATAGTAAAGAAATTGTTCCTAGTCTTTAATAGCATAAAGCAGCTTACTTTACTAAGATTTGTATTTTTCAGAACCAAATTATTATTACTTTTTATTTTACTACGTATTTTACTTTACATCAAGAAACCTCTTGCAAAATATAGTTTTATCAACCTAGGAGAAGTTGGCTAGGCAACTGCATTGCCAGTTGTTTAATTGAAGATAATGCTACCATTAACATGGTAAAATGCAGTGATACTTCTGTTAGATAGGAATATATGATTGAAGAATGGTGTGTTTATACCAGCTAAAATGCATTTGTACCTAGATAACTACCTAAAGTGTGTCTCTTTTTTCTTCCAAAGAGCAAACAAAAGCAGTCCTAGACTAATGAACCTAATTCAGAGAATAGAATTTAGCTCAGACCTCTTTCTTAACACTTCCTTTTTTCTTTTCCATCAATAGTTTCTTCCTTTTATCCTTTTGTGATTTCTAGCTCATAAAATTCTACCAAACCCATCTCTGACAGATGTATACCTGTCACTCTGATTCTTGTCTCATACTTCCTTAACTCTGTTTAGTTTCTTCAGGAAGATCACTACTCTCCTAGCTTTCTTCTTTTCTAGCTACTTTTTCTATTATACTACACCTTTCTTGGCCTGTAGGCCACCAGAAAAGACCTTAACTATGCCTCAAAGTCATCTTTTATAAACACAAATAATTATGAGGTTTTAAATTACCTATCATAATCTGATTAAAATCATAGCTAAATTCAAATATTTTGTAGAAGTAAAACAAAGTTACAGCAAACTTTCAAATAAATTTTCATTTTCTATTGCTTTCTTTAAAATTGCAAGTTATTAGATTTTTAAATATATATGGAAATGTTTTCATATCTAATTAATTTGTACCAAAACAATAAAAACTCAGCATATTTAAAACAGTACTTATTTAAGAGCCAGCTCTTCTAAGATTCCATAACCCGTGAGTATATTGTTAGTAACTGCTAATGACCTAAATGAGAATAGCACCTGCTACAAGTGCAGTAACCTCAAAGCACATTTGAAAAGTAATCTGTTTATATTACAGTGAAGTTAGAGTGGACTTCTTGGAGAAAAACATACTTAAAATAGAACTATTGCATGAGAAAAAAACTAATTGTGAGAAAGATCTGAAGTATTCAGAACAGCAGAAAAGTATATGCTATCCAGAGACCTTCATGTATTAAGAGCACTTAACAGAGAAATTTGTAGCCTGGACAGAATTAGGGAAATAGAAACAAAACCATAAAGGATATAAGTGGCAGATCTAAAAAGAGTTTAAATTTTGAAGTGCAGTGTAGTGTATCTTTAAGATTCATTAAGCAGAATAGTGGCATTGTGCAATTTACATTTCAAAAAAAAATTTGGGCTGCTGAATGGAAAATAGCTGAATGAGAAAGTAGATGCCCCAGGCAACCTATTAGGAGATCATTGCAGTGATATAACCAAATGATAATGCTAACTTGGACTAAAGTGGTGGCAGTGAAATTGGAATGAAGCACACGAGGGCTGGTGAGATGGCTCAGTGGTCTAAAGCACCTACTTAGAACAAGCTAAGCAAAAGTACAGGGACCGCGGTTCAATCCCCAGCACCACATGCCAGCCAGCCCTGCCCCCTGGTGGGCTGAACTGGCCACACACACACTAAATAAATAAATAAATAAATAAATATTAAAAAAAAAAAAAAGGAGAAGAAGGGGATGGTGAATGAAAGAAAAGACTGGAATGAAGCACACGAAATTAAGACATCTTTGGGAATTTAAATAGCCAGCATTTATTATGGAATATGATAGGGACCCTAAAGAAGATGACACATTTAAGAATGCTGCCTATATTTCTGTTTTGAGCAAACAACTGGATAATGGCACCACTTACTCTAATAACAGCTGAAGGACAATCAGCAGTCCTGGATGTGGGAAGCAAGAGATCAGCTTAAGCATGTACAGTCGTAGATGCTTCTGTAATACACTAGTTAGGTTATAGAAGATTGGAGCTTCCAGAGGGAGGTCAATGCTAATAGTATAAATTTGAGAGTAGTTAGAATATGAATTTGGGAAGGGTTCGGTTTGGTTTGGTTTGGTTTGTTGATGGAGATATTAGATTGTGTTTATTTACTAATAGAAACTCAAAATGGAATGATGATGGCATAAGCAGATAGTATAGAAGTTAATAAAAAATAAAATCTTTGATAAAAAGGAATGGGGATCCAGAATATATATTGGAGATTGGCCTTTAGCTGACTGGAAATTTCATCCTTGTAACAACAGGAAAAAGATATGCAGACACAGGTAGACATAGGATTAGTTATAATAAGATGAAGAAGCACCTCTCTGACAGCTTCGGTTTTCTTGCTAGAATATAAAACAGGATCATCAGCTGAAAGAGGAGAGATTTAAGGTGAAATTTCAAAAATGAGGATAAGTGAAGTAGTCCCTATTGTTAGCGCATAGTATTAATTGTCCACCTTGATTAGTCGTGGGTTTATGGTGTTGGTAAAATATCCACTTGATTATAAATTTGTTCCAAGTTTTAACTACTTGTTGATAGCCAAGGCAGTAGAAGAAGGTGGACGGTTGCATTTATCTGTGGCTTATGATTCTTTAATCTTTTCAATTATTCTTTATAATGTATTAATGTATTCTATCAGTTTCTAAGAATATCTGTGTTCTCTAGTTAATACATTTTAAAGTAAAAAATTTCAAATGTGGTTCACTTCACAATATAAAAATTAAATTGCAATATAACTTCTGTATAACATCAGTTCATCAATTTTCAGATTATATTGGAAGCTAGAGTCTATAACAGTATGCATGTTCTGTTTCTCAGTGTTGTGTGTATGGACATTATTCATATTTGCAATTGAGTAGTTCTGTAGAGGTAAATGAGAAATAAAAAAAGCATAACATTTGAATCTGATTCTTTAGCATTTGTTGCCATTCTGAAAATAATTCATTTTTTTCTAAGATTTTTTTTATTAAGGTAAAATTTGTGGTCATGGAATCAGTTTATAGTTATTCAGAAGACAAAATTAATAGCTTCAAATGAATTAATAAGCAACTTATTATTGCTTAGAAGGTTTCAGGGGCTAAGGTGATAGCTCAGTAGAAAAAGCGCTTGCCTGTCAAGCTCAGGGGCCTAAGTTCAATCCCAGTTCCGCAAAAAAAAAAAAAAAAAAAATTTTCAGTTACTTTTTGTCACATAGCAGGCAAGCTGTCAAAGAGAAGTCACAGAAAGTAGCAGGGGCCTGTTGGGTTAGTAACTATAAGATATTTTTCCATATTTTTGCCCAATGGTGGGCAGATACGATTTTTTATTGTTGAATCTGTATATTCACAAGGTTAATGTCTAAATGGGCATTTTTGATGAGACTCCAAATTTATAGACTGCTGCCTTAAAAGCAAGTAGAATGAAGTTACTGGTTTTAAATGTTTAAAGAACTATAGAATAAGTCAGAATTGGTGTTCTATTCCATTTGGCAAAAATTAATATATTTTTGTTGCTGTTGTTTGTTTTTGAGACAGGGTTTCACTATGCAGTTAGGCTGGCATTGAACTCACAGTGATCCTCCTTCCTCAGCCTCCTGAATGCTAAGATTACAGGTGTGCACCAGCACACCCGGAAACATTGTGTTTTAGAGGGAAAGCCTATTTTAGTACATGATGGTCTGCCATCAAAGAATTTGATTTCTTTCATAATTTAAATGTAACTAAATTAACTGGATTTCAAACACTATGAAAATGTTTGAAAAACATATCTAATTCCAATAAAATTTTGAACTTAACAATTCCAAATGCTATAATATTATTTCAAGAATTTTTCTCTTTCACATATATTTATTTAAAAGACCAGGATATAGTAGGTTTTTATGCTCAGTAATACATGTTTAAGTTATACATTTAGAAGTTAATGGAGCACATCATATATTCAATTATTACCCTCAATCATTTCATGAATAATCAGTATTGCATCAAACCAGATAGTATCAACAACTTTCATCTGTGTTTTTACAAGCAATTAATTTACCTTTGGTAATAAAACGCTGCTTGGAGAGTAAGTTCAATATCCTATTTATTAGATAACAGACATTGGGCTGGGAGTGTAAGTCAGCATGCTTGTATGTGCTAGGTCCTTGGTTTGATCTCCAGCACCACAAAAATGAGATGAAGAATGGAGGGGAAGGCATTGGACCATGAAAAGTTATGCAATCATAACATGTCTTTCTACTTCTATCACCATCACCATCACGCTGTTTCATCTCTGATCTTTCTTTTATAGAATTTAGGAAATTACCACCACTTTCATTGTCAGTAATGGGTTACATTCCGATTTATTTTCTAAAAATTCTATGCATACATGATAGATTCTTATCATTCCAGGAAGAAGCCCTGCTTCTGATGTAATAGACTTACACAAGGCTCCATTCTCTCATCAAACCTTTCTTAACAAAGGGCTTAGTAAATCTATGGGATTTCTGTCCATCAGAGACACTCAAGATGAGGAAGATTATTTCAAGGACATTTCATCAGATAATAACTCTGGACATGAGGATTCTGAACATACCTATTCCCCAGATCAGTTCAAAACTAGTGGCCCTCAAAAGAAGGCTGTCCCTGGCATTGATGCGCTTCCCAAAAAGAAGATTTGGGCGTCATCCATGGACTTACTATCTTCACCTGACAGAGACTTCTCTCCTGGAGAGATCAACAGATACCAGCGCTGTCACCCTGATGGTGTCACAGGGCAGACTTCAACTACTCCTAGGAAAAAAGAGGCCAGGTACTCTGATGGAAGCATAGCCTTGGATATATTTGGCCCTCAGAGAATGAATCCAGCATGTTACACACGAGAATTGCCCACTTCCTCAGCAATATCCAGTGCTTTGGACAGAATTCGAGAGAGGCAGAAGAAACTTCAGGTTCTAAGAGAAGCCATGAATGTAGAAGGTTAGTAATTTTGTGTGTGTCTGAGAAAGAATTGAACCAAAGTATTTAAAATTATGTCTTGAAATAAACAGTTATTAAATCATTCCACAAGTCTTATTTCCACTGCCAAGCTTTTGAATCCAGTTTACATTTATTTCTTCTGCCATTTTCATTCTTTCTCCACCAACGGACCCTTCTTCTGCACAGTCGTCCTTATACACATTCCAGTTTCTAGTCATTGTATATACTCCCTTGGTTTTGAGGGCCACGTGTTTTTAGATTGTAAGCTTTTCAAGGGCAGGGGGTATGTTTTCTAGCTTGTACAGTCTCTCATGGGAGGCTTCAGGAAGTAGCTGGCTCATGGGAATGAGTAGCAGCAAAATCTGGTGTAATTCTGCAAAATCTGAATCCCAAGAAAGTAGAATGGTGCATTGGCACCATAGCCACCATCTTAAAAATACATTTCAGGGCACAATTCTAGTAAAGTTTGATTTCTTTCAGCTGAAATAAAGTTTGGAATCTATACTTCTAAAGTCATAGCGGTAAGATTTATAGGCTTAGAGTCAGCCTAGGTTGGAATTAGTTCCTCCTTTTGGTACCTACATGACCTTTAACTTCAGTAGTTAAGTGATCACTTCAAGTCTAAATAATTCCATCTAGAAAACAGGCCTGAAAAAATAAATTAAGGGAACACTTTAGAGTGATTAAATGAATTACTACATTTTATGAAAACAACTTTATACACAGTAAATTCTAGCAGGGCATGCTGGCTCATGCTTGCAATCCCAGCATTCGGGAGGCTGAAGCAGAAGGATTCAAAGTTCAAGCCCAGCCCAATCTAAATGCAGAATTCAAGGCAGCCTGAACTACAATGAGACTCTGTCTCAAAAGAAACAAAAATAAATAGGTAATAAATTTTCTAATGTTCTCAAGTGTGATTTAGTTTCAGAAAGATTATTTTCCTTAGTGTTTGGTAAATTAATGATATGAATTAGTGAAATTTAGGGAATTTTTTTATACTTAAACCTTTGAGAATTAAAAAGGAAAAATCAAGCATTGTGGAAAAATGTTTTATCTGTTAAATTACAGCATAATTTTCTATTTGATATATTTTGTTTGGGTGATTTTTATCTTGATTAACTATAACAAAACATTTTATACCCTCGTAGTACTATGTGATCCCACTATCTAATCAAGTAATGTGTGTATACATGTGTAACAACTTTGTTAACATTAACAAAACTCATGTAGAACAGCTTCTTTCTAAATAGGCATATATAAGGGCCAGCAAGATAGCTCAGTGGACTAAGTGCCTGCTTAAGCAAGCGCAGGGACAGGGGTTCAGTCCCCAGCAGTACATGCCTGCCAGTCCTGCCCCCTGGCACGCTGAGCTCCCCCCAACACCAGTTGTGGTGGCGCACGCCTGTAATCACAGCAGTGGGGAGACTGAAAACAAGAAGGATCACTAGGAATCTGAGCTGCATAGTGAGACCCTGTACTAAATACATAAAAATAAATGTGCATATATATGTGCAAAGATGATCCATACTGTTTGTCAAACCTTATTTGCCCCAAAGGTAACTAGGATTTAGAAATTTTAGATTTGTTTCAAGAGGTAACATGCAAAAGAAAAGCTTCCTTTTTAAAAATAAAATATGCTTTGAATTGTTGAATAGAGAACCATTTCTGTCCTGGAAATGGGTTTTGCTATTACTGAAAATCTTTCTAAAACATGCTCATGTTTTGCCAGAGGATATTTTAAAATCCAAGTAAACAAAATTAGAACATGTTGGTTTATTGTGAGAATCCATCACCTTCAATAAGCTGTCATTGTTATATTTGCAAGTAGTAATTATGCTTGCTTGAGAAGAAAAGCATTATTTAAAAGGAGTATTTGAGATTTAGAAGTCGAAAGGAATAATTCTTGTTGGTTATTTAGTTGAGTAACTTCCTGGTCTTAGGCTATCCTGCCTTTTTCTAAAAGGTGAAGCAATTTGTGTTAGGTGTGCAAATAAAAGTGCAGATTCCTAATCTGAAGATTTGGGGCCAGGGTTATAGCTCAGCAGCACAAGCTTCTGCCTAGCAAGTGCAAGGACCTGAGTGCAATTTCAAATACCAAAACAACAAAAATTTTAACTAGTATACAAAGCAAAAATAGCAAATAAATGTAAATTCTATGTATCTCATTTAACTCTCATAAAATGGCTCTGCAGTCCCCTTTCATGTATGATAAAGCGTGCAGAACAGTGGGTATCACTACATATTGGCATTTCTAATATTTGAATTTTTTTTAAATTTATTTATTTGGTACAAGGTCTCACTACACAGCTCAGACTCAGTGATCCTCCTATTTTCAGCCTCCCCAGTGCTGGGATTACAGGCATGCACCACTAGCCCCAGTCTCCATGGCCGGCTCAGGCCTTCCCAAGTCAGGGCCGGTGCAGCATGTGGTGCCAGGGATCAAACCCCAGTCCTTGTGTTTGCCTAAGTGGGCATGTAGTCTGCTGAGCTATTTCGCTGGCCCTGATATTTCTAATATTTGTATTTTAAAATAAGTGTACTGTATAAATTTTGTAATCTTAAATTTGTTAGTTGCTAATGGATCAAAGTAATTTAGAATCGGGTAAGGTCTTGTGTCACATGTTACCCAAACATAGTCTTGATCTCAGGAAGAGCTAATGACTTGTTAATGCTAGAATAGTCATCATTTTAGGAATTGTAGTTTGTCCATCATGAATTTCAAAGTACCAGTCTAAAGATTTCCTAGCACATGTTACTTAAGTATTTTTAAAGAAGCATTTACTTAAGTATTTTTAAAGAAGCATTCCAATGATTGTTGAGCTAATATGACAATCAGGAAATGGCTGCACTTCATTTCATTCGTCTGGCTTAGTGAGAAGTCACTGAACTAGACAGCGTGATCACTGTCTTCCCCTTCAGGTGTGAACCCTTTCCTTAGGCAAGGCCCCATCCTCTTAGAAGTAGTTTTTACGTAAATCACCTGTACAATGTCTCTTCAGCTGATGGCATCTGCCAGCCAAATAGCATAGTAGATCCCAGTTTTAAAAATCAATGTTTTTAGAGCGGAAAGGGGTCTAGCTACCATTTTATCTGAGCAGCTCATTTTCAGAGAACCAGAAAAATAGACTAGTTTGCCAAATGGCATACATAATTCATAACAGACCTGTAATTTTAGTTCCGATCTCTTGAGCCCTGTTGAAAAGTTTGTCCACTCTACCATACGAATTTTAAGAGATCACATGTGTTTCATATTGTTGGGAAGACATTTTTACTGCCTGGGAAGTTGAACATTCAACTAACCACCTAACTGACAAAACCCATAAGTCTCTCCTTAGTAAAATTATATGTATAATTTTCAGTGCATTGACACAAGATAGCATTTTAAAAGACTAAAATGAGATCTTTTTGGATCTTTCAGAAGTAAACTGGAGGCATTAAGATACACCTTCATGTTGCTAGATTCGCTTTATAATTGTGTTGTGATGAGGTTTGACCACGGTATAGCTTGAATGTAGCTAACCCAACATCTGATGAGATGAGGGTATGTACTCTAGAAAGGCAGTGTTTGGCAGTGTTCATGCATACCTCTTTGGGAATAGGTGAGAGTAACAAAAAAGATTTCAAGAAAGAAATTATAGTTGAAGTTCGAAAATTAACAGTGTAAGATTATTATTATATTAAATTAACACTTAAGCATTCTGATCTCTTTATAAAGCAACAGGGAAAAGGACAAAAAAATATAACTTTAGCTCTCTCTCCCTCCATCCCTACCCCTCCTCCCCCCTCTGCTCCCCTCCCCTTCTCTTGGTTCCTTTCTCTCTTCCCCTCTTTACTCTTTCACCTTTTTTCACCTCAGCATAGGACTACATCTTTCTTCTTCCTTAATCCCAGCATGTTCTGTTCTACCTCTCTCTACTGCTTCTCAAAACCAGGGAAGTTGTCAGTTTTCTAGTAGGTGTATGCCTGACAGATGTCCCTGTCTACCTTATGATGCAGTCACCACACACACTGTGCTCATTGCTCTGTGGCTGGCAAGAGATTCCTTATTATGAGAGATCGACTTGGAACTAGTACTGTGACTATGATATGATCAGTAGTCCCACACCCTGGGTGGGGACCATGAATAGTATTTTGCTCCCAGCAGTTGAAACTCCTCTGCATTCTTTACAATACAGTATCATGAAGGAAAATGTGACAGTGATAAAGCTATTGTCTACAAAAGAAGCTATGGCTAAATGTTATTTATTTAATGAATGATTAGTCAATTCACCATGCCTCAAAATTAAATACTGTTTCCTTCCTTCAAGTACTGTGACCTCTGGTCCTAGCCTAATTTTGTTATCCTGGTATATCCCTGTAAATACGTCTTAAGATCTGTGTTGTACAACCACAATATATAAACCCTTGATGGAAGGAATATTCTCTTATCTATGCAGTCCAACTCGTTCAGGTGCTAGATATTTGTGACATGGCTTGTTATGCCACTGAGGAACTGGTTTAAGTTTTACATAGCCAAACTGGCCCATGTGGCTTCAGACGATTCCTGTAGAAAGCTAGTCCAGTGTACAGTATGAACACTCTATTGAGGAGGCACTCATCTAGAAGCATTTGAGAAGAAGTGAGCCGTAAATTGTTGTTTAAAGAACACAACTGACAGAACACAACTGACACCTCTTACTCAAGTGGAAGAATGACATTGCATTTTCAAACAGTAATGAAATGTGAAACCATTACAAGCCCTCCGGTATCTGCACTTATAACAGTGTAGCACTGATTTTTTTGACTTAGAAAATAATATGCTACTTTGTTAGACAGCAGGACCCTAATTTGAATCTACTAACAGTATTATTTTTATAGGCCCATTTTTGGGTTTTAACTTTGCCATCTGTGAGAAGTATAGAAGAAATATTGTAAATGAGTCTTACTAACAGTGAATATCATTACAGGTTTTTTTCCATAGTTTTATTGAGAAACAAATAGCAATGAGACAGTTTCAAATC